TTTTCAAACTCTAACTGCACGGGTTTTTTTTTGTAGGTTTTCTTTTCATGACGCTTTCAAACTTCCTTTTGAAGATACCTTTGTTTTTCTTTTTCTGTCTGGAGAGAAAGAGCATTGAAATCAAGAATGCTTTTTTGCATGTACAATTTTTATTTTGCACTTTACTCGGTAGATTATGGAAGAGTTAAAAGAGGTCAAGGCAACCTTGCTACGTACATATTGAAGGTCTATGAAGGATCCAAGCCCTCTCAACATCCGACGTACTTATTCGGCCATTTGACTTCCTTCTCCTCCAATCAATGGAGCAGTTCCGGAGCAGGAAGGAGCTCCTCCCGTCTGAAGGGTGCGCCCCGGCAGTTGACTGCAAAACACAATCGTAGTTTCTAATTGAATGCATGTATGGTTCATACAATGACTTGCGATAGCCGACCAATGTTCAAACCAATGCAGTTAGCCTCCCAGACGGGGCTGGTACCAATTAATCAACCTCGGAGTGGTGGAAGACCTTGATGGCTAACGAGGATAACGATCCAGGATTCGAACGCGTGACCATGCATGTGTGATGGTGCGGCACGTGCCACTACACCACTTCCTCCTCTTACTGGTCAGTTATGTTTATTTAAAACAAAGGGTTTGTTAAATCTCTCTGTTACTTTTTCTTTGTAGGCAAAACTTATTGCCCATCAGTTGCACTAACATCTTAGAAATATACATTCACGTACAATTGTATTCTATATTATCAAAATAAAGTAGCTGGAATAGATTTCAAAGAGGTGAATGATCCAACTTATTACAAAGACTATGGCCGTTCAGCAAGTGGCAAGTTAGGACAGAATTGCCGAGCAACACTAGTGGTTTCCCGAACGTTTATGCGGCAATTCAGCTGTGTGCTTGAGCTGTCCATGGTAGACAACCCATTCGCGAACACCTCTGCCCTTATTACGTTCACGAGCTTCTAGACACAGCTCATATTTCTGTTTTCTCTACTCCTTAGTCATGCTCAGACGTATGGAAACCATTGGCAGCCACCACTTTCACCAGGGGCGGGTGCTCAGGATTTGGCAATACCCATGCGTATGTTTCAACAGGGCGGCACTTCACATCTACTGCATCGAGAACTCGAGCAACTTTATCCTCGAGATTCCTCTGACCCGCAGATGGACAAAGACCGTCTCACCGAGATGACTATGCTGGCTCCGTTTATCGCTCTCGAGGAGATCGGAGAATTCCATAGGATTCTTCTCCGAGAGAGCGATAAGCATATTTTCAATAGCTGGATCCCGATTAACTCCCATAATGCTTTTAATAAGTTCCATGGCCGATATGTTATGGAGGTTGTCTGCTTCTGGACTAGTTGTCTCGGTGCTAATTCTGCTACTCGAGCCAGATAGTGGCTGAAAACAGCTCAACGAAGCCTCCTTAGAACGCAGCTGTTTTGACGGCGTCTTATTTGATCTTTGATCTATCCACCAAGTACTGAGTCTAATGAGTCAATAATTACAAGTAGCAGGAAGCTAACCGGCAACCCAGCGACCCAAACAATATAGAGGAGAAAATAACCCGAAAAACTCGAACAAAAGCTGTGAAAACGAAGTAAAAATCAGAAGTACACAACGCAAAATAAATCCTGAAAAAACAAAGATGAAATGCTTTTAATAATGCGATTAATAGAAAACACTCACGACAGCTGGCAGGAACGCGACCGCACAAGACGACCTCAGTAATAGTGGCCAGTGAATTAGTGAAATAAATTTTTATAAGAATTTTACGATATCATTCTATATATATTTATATTTGACCATTCCAAGAGGGAGCAAGAAGGATCAAAAAGCAGTCGCTAAATCCGCGACAAGTGCTCATCTTCAGAATCTAATTGAGAGGGCGAGTTGTATCCACAAGGGGATTGATAGGATCGTAACAGGGAAGATTAGGTCAAAGATACCCAAGTTTCAGTAACGGATTCCACCTACCATGTCACCGCTGATTTTGGATAAAAAAATGCACTACAAGGGACGTTTTTTTGGGGAGTCATAATGACAAAATCTTCGGGTAAACTCACTCCTGAACGTCATTTGGGGAAGGTACTAATGATCTATTCAAACTGACTTTTAATAATCTCTGTTTTACCTCACCAATGACATTTACTATTACTCTCCTGGTCTCATAACTTCTCATACTTGAGGCTTATTTTTTTCAAATAGGAATGTAACTATTTGAGAGATAACAAGTTAGCACTATATCAAGCACATCAAGTCTAAAGAAGTTTTAATTACTTCAATCTTTGTATAGCTACATGATTGACTTCATGGCTTCAAATTCCCCAAAAACAAAAACTTTAACCACGTGTCGGCCCGACATGCTCATGACTAAGTTCTGGACGAGTAGTCGGATTTCTGTGTCACATCGTATCGTTTGTGTACGCCGTCGTCGAATCTTAAAGTGCTTCTAGATAAATGTGCCGCGAATGGTGGTTGAAACGCCCCTCATAAGGACTGAAAATTTTCGATATTTCCCAAAGAAAGGCAAAACACCAAAAAGACGTAAGTATTATCGAGTTTGCTCCGGCTTGTACTTGCATTATACTAGTTTGCACAATGAGAATTTGGCCAGCTCCTTATTTCCAATATTCTTTGCGATGGCCGCCTTTCTGAGAAATTCCTTTCATTTGTAATATAATTTGATCAGAACTGTCCTCTTTACTAAAATGTTCGCGAGTAAAGTACGTGATTTCATGCTAATGTCGCGAAATAGACGACTTATGCGACTTCGATCCGATTTCTATTAAAAAGTGAGGGCTTGAATAGTAGCCTGAACAACTGCTACACCTGCTACAACTCAATAGTGAAAATGAAATCAATTCCGGTCCTAGCCGGAATTGAAGGGATTGAGAGGAAATACTTCCTGTCTGCCTAATATCCTTTATTAGGTTAAGCCAGCGTGTGTGTTCAACAATGTGGAAGGGATAGTGCAGAAACGCTGGTTTCTAGTGTTTTCTATACTGAGCTCGACTTGTTTGAGTTAGTTAGAGGTTTAGTTCAATACATGGGGAAACTTTGTAATAGTGGTAAGTCAGATTTTGAAATTCTCCAATCTTCCCATGATCTCGCCATGGTCCAACTACTGACTGTGTTGCTTTGACTTAGTCTCCGAGTTATGTGTGTTATGTCCGAGTTGTGTTCTTTAGTCTTCCATTCATCCTATTATATCGCTAAAAATATCGTATTGCTCTCGTAACCTTTAGGTTGATGCATAATTATTACGGCTTCTTTTTTCAACAAGTTTTATTTGAAAAGAGATAAAAATACTGAACAAAAACCTATTCAAACATTTACTTAAGAACGTAGCCATCATCTAAACCAAGCATTGCTTCCAATTTGATAGGCATTCGGTCGGTTCCACGACGAAGCCGTGAAAAAATACGCAGTAATTATGCACCAAGCTAATAGTTAAATCACTTAGTCACCTTGAGTAAATGTCGATCGCCTTGACTCTGATACAAGTACACATGAACGATAGATGGTAATAGACTCATTACAATTCGAGTAATTTAAGTTTTAGTTTTAGTAAAAGAGGAGGAAATAGAGTTGAGCTGAGTAATAGTTTTAGTAAAAGAACAGGTGACAGAGATCAATCATGGGCTTGGATCTCCAGTGAACACGTCAACTCAGCTCTCACTACTTGGCAGTAAAGTGCGTTTCATCTTCAATAACCCTAGAATCTGACCAGTTAGTTTCAGACTTGAATCTATGCAGAAGAAGGAAAGGCGACAGCCTTGATCATGTCAAAATAAGAATGCTTATCTCTTTTTACTTCCTTTGAATAGTCTGGGTCCAACTGAAAAGTTAATTTCTTACTTATCAAGAGCCTGAATGACCTGAAGCATTGGACACGAAAGTGTTCTACTACTCAGAAAGTCTTCATTTCTACCCTGGCACCTAGGCTTGTAGTTCGCTACCTTCAATGCTAATGGAATACTCTTAGGAAATATTTGTGTAGATTCTAGTTTTTTCTCTCGAATTCTACATAGCAAAACAACTTTTCCCGTCACTGCAATGGCAAAACAAGTAAGTACATTGTATTCGACAAAACATTCTTGTTCATCATCGTCATTCTTGGCTTACGAAGATTCAAGTTCATTACCGTTTAGAAATGTTGTTTTTCTTCGACAGCATTCGTATAGCTCCTCCAACATGTCGTCCACTTCCGAGCACATTCATATTAGCTATGAATATTCATTTGCTACATTAAACACCACACTGAAACCGAAGACAGTGAAGAGAGGCGGAGAAAGCGAGAAATGTTGGAAAGCGTTTTGTTTGAGTTGGACATTCGGAAATCTTCTAGCTATGATGGCAGGTGCATTTCCAATAGAGTCGATAAGAACCTCTCCATGAGGTGCGGAAGTCAATAGGCTCTTATGTTCGACGGGTTCTCGGCTGTTTGAGATTTCCTCTGTTCACGCTTGGACGGTCTTTTTTTTTAATTTGACGGGATGCTTATATTCTGAGTAGAACTCGACGGGAACTCAGCAACCGTAGTGGAGTGGGACTCATGTTGGCTTCGGACAACATTCAACTCGAGTGACGGGTCGAACGATTTTTCCTCCCTCACCTTTTTTTCAGTGACTGCGGTCAGTGCGCTTCTCTTTGCCTTCGGTGAAGGCCAAGTTTTAGCGCGGCCGATTATCCCCTGTCGTGTTGTCATTCTAATTGTGAATTCATGTATTTTTGACTTGAACAAAGGATTGCAATGACTGCGGGGACAATCCACCATCAGCATCAGGCCACGCCACCCCCACGGCCACACAGCAACACGCACTGCCTCCAACTCCTCCTTCATCTATCCGTCCTGCATCCATTCATAGCTGATTAGATGACTTTTCCTCGTCGTCTTCGACCCAAGGGCCGTATTAGTGGTGGCTATTCTCGAACTCGACGACATTCTATACCTCTTCTTCAATAACTAACACAGCGAGCCTTCGAACCAATTTCTATGACCCAATGTCGGCCAGAAACTCCATTGCCTCGCTGTCGTCTGGCTCGACGAAAGTTGAAACACGACTCGTTGATATTCCATCCAGAACGTCTCTTTGTTCTCATGTATCTGGTCAAGAAGGTGCTATGATTCCCAGTAGTAGCAGTAAGGACGAGGACCTCCTCAGTTCATCCAGTGATGAAATTGAAAAGGTGGCAATGAATACACTAGCACACTTGGAAGAGGTACTTGTAATTTACCAGATTGTCTCCTTCTTCAATCATAGCTTATTCATTCAACTCAGACCAAAGGTCCCGCTATGTCAAATCATCGGCTTGATGATCAGAAGAAAAGCAAGACTGAAGATGAACGAGGATCCGAGAAAATAAAGGAAAGCGAAGAACCCCAAGGTATCACCATGTATAAGCATGGACTCCTCTTACTCGACGGATTGTGTTGTTCACTTTTGTTTCTTGAGAATACTCATAGGCGACGAACCCTTCCTTTCCTTTCTGTAAAAAGTCTTGATTGTTCACTTCCATTTCCCATGACGTCCATAGCAGGTAGGACCCTTTTTATTATACACTATAACTCCGCACCAAAATTGGTACCCTCCTCGAATTCGCAAATTCCTCTCGTGCTGGTTTATTTTGAAGTTCAAGCCTTCAGAATGCTCAGATAGGGGGCAAATCCGTTTGTTCGGTATTCAATCATCAGGAGCTTGCTTATGTTTGTACCCAACATTACGCCAACGGACCCCATTAGAGCTCTTCGCGCACGCAGCATCGTTTCAGTACCTTTCTGTTGTGATGGACCAAATAAATTTGTAGCAGTCCACGGCTTTACCATGAATTAGAGCAAATCTCTTTACTATGGCAATGAAGCCCCTTCGAGATTGAAAATTCACTACAAAGGCCCACAATTTACTTGCCATACGTTCAAAGCAAGAATAACTTCAAATTTTTTGACCCTAGAAAATGCAATCCTTCTGTAAACGTGCATAGTTGGTCATTTCTTTACTTACTCTACTTATAAGTTCTTATTTCTTCCGTTATGATGGTAGGCATGAATGATGTTTTAGCGTGTTTTGTCCGATGACCTCATCATATTGACGCGTGAATCGCACCACACCCCTGTGGTTCTGCCCGACCCACTTCATAGCCCAAACGAAAGAAAGCATTCCAGTCATCAATACGAATTAGTCCATTTTAGGAGGAGTCCCCTTTTCAAGTTTTTTATTCGACTAGCTACGATTATGAGCTCGTATCAAGCTTATAAATCTCTGTGTAGGTTCGATACACTGCCGAAAAGTCACTGAAAAACTTGACTATTGGCCATAGGTATTACAATAGCACTTGAAAAGCTCATTCTTCCTACTCTGTACTTAAAATGTACTGAACAGCGCTAGGATACTAGGAGCATATGGCGCCCTTGATTTATAGCACGTCGGATTAAAGACGGGCTACACCCTACTCTGCCTATTCAGATTTTACCCGACATACTTATATTTCAAGAGTTTTCTTTCCGGCCATTTCTTTTTGGACTGTTTATGAATTTCAACCGGAAGCGCTCGAACTTTAGCCCAAACAATTCTCTTGGTTGAGGCTTCAGAGCCTTTTAAAAATAGCGTTACGGCTATAAACTTCCCCTATCCCTCATTTTGATGCGGAAAACTACTACGTTTGGTGAGGGAAACACTTCATTTCGGTTTTCTGAAATTCTACTTCCCAGCAAGTTGTCAGCAGTAATACGTAGCGAATGATATGGATATGCCGATTGCAATATAATTACCAGTTGATTGACTCGCTTTTTCGTGTGACTGCGTTCGAAATAAATCATGGGCGAATGTCATACTTAGTTATAACTTGTAATATACGCATAGCGTTATTGAGTTATTGAGCCCATTACGACACCGAAAGCGAATGTACCTAGAATTACAAAACCTAATTTTCATAGGAAATTCGAGCCCAAATGGGATTACATCTCAGAACTGTCTAGACTTTGAAACTTATAAGAGAACAAAAATGTAGGAATAGCTGAAGTCAGCTCAATTTTTTTCGTCAATAAAAATTTGACGCCATTTATAACGAATTCTGTTGAATTTCAGCAAACATCCAGAATGAGTTCGGAGTGTGCGGTTGGATCCTCACAATACTTTCGTACCTACTAATTTTTGTGACATTACCTATATCAGCATGTATGTGCATCAAGGTGAGCACTATTTCCAGATTTATTACTAGTACTACTTGAACGTAATAAAACGTAACCATAGTAAGTACTAATGAACTTCTGCAAGAGCGGGGGCACTGGATTGCGCGCGACTTATGGCAACCGCTGCAATAAGGGTGAATTATGAGATGGCAGAATCAAAAGAACTAAAGACGTGTTTCGAAAAGATTTCTTTTCTTTTATTGTGAAGACTGTACATGGACGAATTGTGGAAAGCACCCAAATGACACGCGACATATCTTATGTCACTAAGGAGCCCAGGCTTGTGTACAGCAAAAATAGTTCAGTCCGAAAGCTACCATGTGAGAAATAGCTGTACCACATGGGGTATCTCATACGGCAGTCGCGGCTCCCGAATTGTCCACGCAGTTTGGGTGGCTCTTCACCTCGTTACAGTAGGCAGGATCAACTGTCTAAGTAACATTCAGCCTTCGATATGTTCTCCTGGCTTGAGAACGCTTTCAAAAGGGATGATTACTGGAAGTGAAAGCCGTTCCCCATTTTGGTTGTGTAAGGAGGAGATAGGGCTACCTGCAGGAGAGATTCCAGCCTTCGAAGCAGTGCTGCCCTACTGTTGGTGAGCCTGCACAAACATGCTTCACTTCGGGCTCTTACCAAGTGGTCCCACGGTGACATTTGCTGTCTATGCTCACCAACCACGGAAACTGACTGAGTTTCTGGGTCAACATAATCTAAATTACGAGAGGAATATTTCAGTGGGAAGTGCTTATGTTCTGTCCCAACCGAGGTATTTTCCTGGCCCAAGACCACCTTACATCACTTGTTGGTGCGCTGAAAGTTGAAGAGGAGAAGCATCGATGATTTTTCAAGGGAATTCTGTATTTGAGTGTTTTCCAACTCGCAACCCTTGAAATCCTGGGAGAAGGGTCTTGAGCTGCTGCTTGAGCGTTAAGCAAGCGTTGTAGGTAACAAAGGCATAAAGGTAACATATCGTAAATTAACTCCTGTCCAATGCTAAATATAAAATTTTGGAAAAAAATGTCTCATGTACAGCAATACCCATGTCCCAATCTGATACTCATGGGCACCTTGATATAAGTTTAATATGCCACTGAGAGATTCTACAGCTCTAAGCGTTAACCACTGCATGGCTTATCCTAGGCTATTTATTCGGCATTTTAGCTGCCACATTGTTCAAATATGTAGTGAAAAAAAAGCTTTCAGATGTTCCACGTAGTCCATTACCTGTCATGGGACGTTTCCAGGCGTATTCCACTCAAGACGCACTACCATCCGAAATTGTTTGCTGCCAATTTCAGACCTCTAGTAGTTGCCAGTCTCTGATGAATTGTCACATGAGGCATTACAGTGGTACACACAATGCCTTTGCCTATCGATTACACCAACTACTTCCTGTTAGTCAGAAATAAAGCAATTTCCCTCAAAAGTAAACATACAAACATCTCATCGAGGCACTTTTGAGCATCAAAAGAAGCAAACAGTCACTGACTAGGTCTGATTATTCCAAACCCATGCAACTCATTAAAAAAACCTTTCGCCGCTAATAACAATAAAATCTTTTTAACATTTTTGAACTTTGCGAGGAAGTTGGGGAAAAGAGAGGAGGTACATAATAGCATTAATTGTGACTAATGTGCTGCTTCTTGTTGCAGGTTGTACAAGAATATGAGCGAGCAGTCATATTCCGTTTGGGACGTTTAATGCCGGGCGGTGCCAAGGGCCCAGGTAAGAGCTCGATTTACAATTTAGATAATTCTTTTAAGCTTATGTACATTCATTCATCTAGTTCCATTACACTAAAGCTGGATATTCGCTGTGGAACCCTACACATACTCACTTTGTAAACTAACTAGTGGAAGCAGGGTGATTTAATTAGAGCGGAGCTGCTGGTGTTAATCAACATCCTTTTGAAATTTTGTTTGTGCAGTTCAGAAACGTCTAGAAAGTAGACTACTGAAACTACTACATGTATTCTGATTTATTTGCGGGAATTTTCTTGAATTTTTCTACCTCTCTGTAAATAATTTACTTTCATTTTTGCCAATATAATTTCTGTCTGCTGCAACCTTTCTGAGATAGATAGGACCTATCCACAACTGAAGCAAATAGTTGTGTGGCCCACAGCATGTAGCTGAATCAATCTTATTGATCGATAAAACATGTTATGGAAAATTTCGACCAGCAAAAGAACATGAAGGCAGGGTAGTAGGTTCTAAATACCTGATTAGCCTAACGAATTGCTCCCATTATACAGTGTGTTTCAAAAGTATGTGCACACCAAACATTTTGATTTTTTGGGGATACCATTGCTTTGTATAAGCTGTGACCTTCACCATTTGATTCCTTGTGTGCGATAACCTACGAACACTTTCTCTGAGAAAACATCGCAGCTGATAACATAATTTTTTATTAAGGGAAAATTTTTCTTTGTTTCAAAAGTATGTGCACACTTAGCAAAAAACAAAAATATAGTCGAGATCAGAAATCATTAGGGCCCCCTAAATTTCTATAGAGGTTATCGACTACGAGGAATCGTTTGAGAATGGTTTCGTTACGGTAGGTTCTTTAGTTACCTCTTTAGTTAGGGTTCTTTAGTTAGTTAAATGAAAAATTGTGAGTGTGCACATACTTTTGAAGCGGCAACTGGGCCGCTCTGTTTCATGCGTTGCTGGATTCATTCTAGACCCTGGCAGCTATCGCTCACAACCTATTCCTGGCCGTCTACGTATTTTGACTGCTCAGGACAACAGGAGAATAGCACGTCTTGTGGCGAATACTTCTTTGTCTGTGTGTCAGATCCAAGCTCAGATGGGTTTATCAGTCTCGCGTATGACCATTTGGCGCTCTATCCGCTCTGATGAGTGTATCACACGAGAGACGAAAAAGGCTACTCGACTCAATACTCGCCACAAGCTGACAAGGCTGGAGTTTCCTCGTGGGAACATGGCAACAACATGGGACAAGGTACGGTTGTGTTCGAGAGTTTTCAGGATTTTCGTATTTTTAGAACAAACAATGTGTTGTACCCATTTTGTTCTTAGGTGATCTTTTTTGATGAAAAGAAGTACAATATCGATGGGCCGGATGGATTTCATCATTACTATGGGGACCTTCGCCGAAAGCCACTCTTCTTTTCGAGAAGGAATTTCGGAGGAGGCTCTTTGATGGTCTGGGCGAGTAAACTCCAGCCTTGTCAGCTTGTGGCGAGTACTGAGNTCAAAATACGTGGACGGCCAGGAATAGGTTGTGAGCGATAGCTGCCAGGGTCTTGAATGAATCTAGCAATGTAGGAAAAAGAGCGGTTCAGTTGCCGCTTCAAAAGTATGTGCACACTCACAATTTTTCATTTAAAAGGTAACTAAAGAACCTACCGTAACGAAACCATTCCCAAACGATTCCTCGTAGTCGATAACCTCTATAGAAATTTAGGGGGCCCTAAGGATTTCTGATCTCGACTATATTTTTGTTTTTTGCTAAGTGTACATATACTTTTGAAACAAAGAAAAAATTTTCCCTTAATAAAAAATTATGTTATCAGCTGCGATGTTTTCTCAGAGAAAGTGTTCAAAGGTTATAGCACACAAGGATTTCAATGGTAAAGATCACAGGTTACAGAGAGCAATGGTATCCCCAAAAAAACAAAATGTTGGGTGTGCACATACTTTTGAAACACACTGTATGTACAATAGCGCTCAAAAGTCTTCGGTGAAATGGTTCTTCAGCCATACAGTTCACTTGTAACTCCTTTCCTACTGGATCTAATCATGCGAAATTTCTATATTTGTAGCGTGGGTGTATTTTGAATATTTACCAATATTAACCTGCCATCTGATCATGTTCCAGATATTCCAAAGAGCATGAACTCAAAATCGACTGAAAATACAGATGATTGCCCTTCTAAATAGAATCTCTTTCTTTTTTGTCATGTCTAAAGTATACGAGCGGTAACGCCGAACACAATAGATGAGAAAAACGCACATATAGTGCAAATAAGTGCAGACATCAACAACTTTACTTTTAGCAAAATCTGCTATCGTAACAAACCCCTTGCTCTATCTGTGGATATTGAAGCTTCGCAGTCAAATAGCGTCGGGTAGGATGAAATATGCTCTAGTTAAACATATCCAAATTTGAAGCGATTTGGTCTACTAACAAAAAAGTTATGAAAGAAAGAGCGTCAAAGCATTTCACCGAAGACTTTTGAGCGCTACTGCATGTACAGGGTGGGTGAGGATGATGTGGTGGAAAGTGGCGTAATATCACACGCGCATGGTTACGGGTTCGAACCCCCGCTCGATTTCCGCCCAAGCCAATCATGTTTTCCATCCCTCCAGGTTCGGGTTAATTGGTACCCGACTCTTCTAGGAGGATGATGGTACCGACTTGTACATCGGCTGACCAACGTAAGCTATTGTGAGTGCAGTCATTGCACGTCACACACATACACTCACTGCGCCTCTACGATACTAAATCGAAGCCGAATGCGGGGCGCATCACTCTGACGGGATTGGTTAGAGCCAAAAAACTCATGTTTTATCATTATATAAATGGGTTAGTATCATAATGGAAGTCAAGAGGGTAGTAATGAATCAGCTCTACAGCAACTTTTTTCAGGCATATTTTTTATTGTTCCCTGTATTGATACATATAGAAAAGTTGACCTTCGAGTACTTTCCTTCGAAGTCCCACCTCAAGAGGTACGAGTTTCGGCGCATACATTTCTTTGATGATCAATTTGATTTACTTTTATTTTCAGATATTGTCAAAAGACTCTGTTACTGTTGCTGTCGATGCTGTTGTATACTTCCGCATATCAAACGCGACAATATCGGTATCGACAATGATTATGGATTTTTCGAGCAGTTGCAATGCCACACCCCTTTAGGTGACAAATGTGGAAGATGCGGCGCGCTCAACGAAACTGCTCGCGCAGACCACACTCAGAAATATTTTGGGAACGAAAACCTTGGCGGAAATGCTTTCCGATCGAGAAGCTATCTCACATCAAATGCAGGTGCACTACACTAGATTCGGCAATGTAGCCTCACATGAGCCCGATCCCTCTAGTTCAGAGGGACGGACGACCAACACGAACTTACGGTTGACTTTTCTAAATGTGGCTATGTTCATGTGTAATCATATTACTTCTTAGACGACACTGGATGAGGCTACCGAACCCTGGGGAGTGAAAGTGGAACGAGTCGAAGTAAAAGACGTACGCCTACCAGTTCAACTGCAACGAGCCATGGCAGCTGAAGCCGAAGCGGCTCGGGAAGCCAGAGCAAAGGTCTTTTCATACTCTTAAACATAAAACTTTTGAGTGGTCAGTTGACATCAATCAATCGACAATGGTTAAATTTGCACTCCATGAAAAAGGCTTTTAGCGGGAAGCTAAGTATGGATTCGAGTCTCGTCAAGGATCGTTTTTTTTGCGCAAAACCCGCCATCCTTGTGAGAATAGAAGTACTAATCTAGGCAGCTTCCATGTTCGCCTCTCTTGAAACCTAGGCATCGGTACTAATATTATTCAATGCTTCTGTGCCACAAAGGTTTTTAATGGTGGAATTTTTATTCGTCTGACGTTTCGACAAAATCGTCGTTTTCAAAGACCTGAAAGCGTATCGAAACTTCGGGGTGTTACCTATCACGCTTGACGTAGACCAGTTCTTAACTAGTTGCAACTCAGACCGCTGAACTTACAACTAAGTAGAAATTCCA